GCCTCAGCCTCTCAAGTAGCCGGGACTATAGGTGCCCGCTACAACATCCAGCTATTTTTTCCTTTTTTTTTTGGTTGCAATTGTTTAGTTGGCCCAGGCCGGGTTTGAACCTGCTATCCTTGGTGTATGTGGCTGCCGCCATAACCACTGTGCTATAGGCACCGAGCCCTAATGCCCAGATCTTGACCCCAAGTGCCTTACACCCTTAGGACTGTTTAGTGGCTGGGAAATGAGGTTTCAGTCAACTGAGGACCTCAGTGGCAGGGAATCCAAATCAACCCAGCTTAGTCCATACCGGTAAGTGGAGACATGGGGGTTGGCAATCATGACAGACTCCAGATGGAAGCGACCATCTCCAAGATACCTGCAAGATGTGGAAAGGAGGCCGTAAGTGTGGTGTGAGGCACCAAAAAAAGCACTGGATGGCTTTTAGAAGTGCAGAGGACTGAGTTCCCAGTGATGACTGTGTTGCTGACTCTGTGTATAAACTGGGACAAGCTGTCATTTTATCTCTTGGGGCCTTGATTTTCTCACGGGTAAAATAAGAAGTTTGAATTGGATGACTGGAAGGTCTCTCTAATTATGTAATACTAGAATCTACTAACTATCCCACCCCAACCTGCTGGGGGAAAGAGTAAAGGAGCAGTCAAGGCCACGGTAGTGCCACCTGGGGCTCCAGAGATCCTAATTTAGAAGTTAGGGTGCAGATTCTCTCTTACCAAGCTCAATACAGATGTGGAAAGTACTGTTCAGGGTGTCATCTCTGCTGTAAATGAGGTCTAAGGGTATACACTGACTACCATTTGCACAAACTAGCTCTCACGTCCAGTTCCTGGGTTATAACAACAGTTACTGTTCATTGGACTTATGCCTTCTGTGTAGCAGGCCTGCACTAATTATCTGCTGTGAGTTCATGCAGTCATTTCTAATAATCCTCCAAGATTTCTATGGTGTCCCCATTTTACAAAAGATACAACTTGGGGTTAGGGATAGGTATTAGGAAACTTGCCCAAAGTTATCTAGCTATTAAGCAATATATCTGAGACTTAACCACCAAGCTGTACCAACCATGCCCCAAGAGATGCTATTATGTAACAGTACCTTCTCAAGCCATGGAAACCCCAGAGCATGGAATATAATCTGCCCATGGCAGGTCTTTCTCTCCCTCTTGGTGACCACACCCCATTTGGATGAATGGCCAATCCTCAAGGTATCTCTGCCTGCAACACACATCTTTTTTTTTGTTTTTTGTTTTTTTTTGAGACAGAATCTCACTTGGTCACTCTGCGTAGGGTGCTATGGTGTCTTAGCTCACAGCAACCTTAAACTATTGGGTTCAAGTGATCCTCTTGCCTCAGCCTCCCAAGTAGCTGGGACTACAGAAGCTTGACACAAGGCCTGGCTAATTTTTAGAGACAGGGTCTCACTCTGACTCAGGCTGATCTTGAACCTGTGAGCTCAGACAACCTATCCACCTCAGCTTCCCAAGTGCTGGGATTACAAGTGTGAGCCACTGTGCCCAGCTTCCAACACACATCTTGAAGCCCCCAAGGATATGTATGGGCTCAGAGTTATGCTGGCACTGGCACAGGGGTGATGCCTTGAGGGAGCAGGGCTGCCAGGTCTGGGCTAGGGAAGGCCCTGATGTGACCCTCTAGGGGCAGGTGTGTCCTGTGTGAGTACAGCGAGGCCTGTGAGACCAGCATTCAAAGTCCCAGGATAGAACTGAGTCAGGGAATGCCCCTCCCTCTCTCTTTGCCATTAGCTAGGAGTGGGGCACTCCCCTCCCCAGTCCCAGCTGGGGGAGCTGTCGGCTCTGAGGCTGACTGCATTCACACAACATTAAGCATTTCCATTACCTAAAATAATTAGGCGGCAGGAGACACGCTGCTTCTGCTTGTTAGCTGTCCGGATGCTAAATTAATGGGGCTGCAGCCTGGGCGTGCCCATCCATCTTCTCCAATTATATTCCCACCATTTCTAGTCCTCCCTCC